ATGAATCACTATTGTTAGAATTTTATTCTTAAGCAAGATTATCATTCAAATCTTGTATTTTTTTAAGATCCTTTTTTAATTTCTTTTGAAAGGTGATAGGTTCCCATTTATTAAGACAGGAGGCTTCAAGATGACATTTATTGAGACAGTAAATTAATTTGGATGCTCAAGTTTATTATTTCCGTAACAAGATTTTTCGATTTTATTCTTCCGTCAGTTTTAATTGATATGCTTCTCACACTGTATTTTTTTATGCATCTATACTTAGCTTTATGTATATTATTTTTCTTGTCATTACTTAGTGTAGATATATTTTTTATCAGATCCCTGAAATATTTGTTATAAAAAAGAAGAAAAAATATGTAATGATATGATGAGTAATATCTGAAAATAATTAATGATATTAATGAGTCCAGCTAACGCCATTAATTAATAGCTAGCTAGTTAGATAGTTCGCAGTTACAATTAGACGGTAGTTAATAGTATAATCTATCTGTAGACAATTAATAGTTAATTATTTTGAGAACCTTTAAACAATTAAGAATTTTGAGATAGTTAACAGTTTACAATTAATAATTATTCGTTTAATAGTAGTTCATTATATTATTTAGAGTTCTGAGATACATAACAGTTGTATAACTAATGCTTAATACTTTAATAACAGTTAATATTTATAAGTTTATAGTTGGAATTTAATAGTTTGAATTTGAGAATTGATATGCCATGAATAGTTTGCAGACAATTAATAGTTACATGATTAATAATTAGTAGTTTTGAAATAGTTAATAGTTAAGAAATTATAAGCTTATAGCGTAGTAATAATCACACAGTTAACAGTTATATTTAAGTTTTGTGATCCTTCCTGAGCCTCTGGTTTTGTTTATTGATTTAATCAGTAAACTCTTAATAGTTAATAATTTTGAGAATCATTACACAATTAAGAATTTTGAAAGAGTTAATAGTCATGTAATTAATAATTAATAGTTTAAAATAGCTAATATTTAGACAGTTAACAGTTTGTGACTTTGAGAATCGTTTCACAGTGAATAAAATAGTTTTCAGACATTTAACTCGGTAGCCCACTCGTCTTAACGTTCATTGTCCTTCACCTTGAAGCCAGAACTTTGGATTTCGAATTTGTTGTTCTATTTATTTCTTATTCTGTAGGAATTTAACGAGTTTTTAGATTAACAAATTCAACGATTTCAAAACGACCAGTGGCAACAAACACTATTCGAAATAAAACATTTTTTTGTTTCCAATGCCCGAGAATGTTGCCATTCAGCTAAATTCGGTAGATATTTATCTTTCAGTTTTAATCAACGAACTCCGCTAAAAACAATGTGCTGCCACTGCTGGAAGCTCTTCCACGCACCAGCATGTTGCCATTCAGTAACGCGTAAAATATTTAACGGTCATATTTAATCTATTTGCTGTAGAATAACAAAATGTAAAATGTAAATGACAAAAGATTATTTAAACACAGTCAACGCAATTTTTAAGAATATACTTTTTCTACTTTTTCGTCTCATCGATTTAAGTAAAAATGCATTTCAATGACGAGATTTCTAATGAGAAATATTAAATATTTTTACCAAACCACCCTAACTGGACTGATTAAAATTACTATACCCTTTTTTCTTTTTTTATAACTCTTTTAGGGGGCTCAATAATGTAGCGAATATTAAAAAAAAGTATGCCAGCTCTGTCGGGAATTCTAAAGATTCTCTTTAAATATTTTGTGGCTTTGCTATTGAATTTTATGTGGCGTAAATGCGAAGTCAATAAAAAGGTAAGTAACCTGCGATGCAGAGCGAGAGCTTAAAAATCTTTCTTTTTCTTTCAGTTCAGTGCAACTTGGTTAATCTTTAGGATAGATAAAATTTTCTCCTTTGCAGAGTACATAAAAAAAAAATGATTTTCTTATGTCTCATTATTTTCTCATTATCTGATTATATTAGTTAATTAGTTGTTACGTGTAAATTATGTTTTATGTGTTATATTTATATGTTAATTATTTATTCATATCTAACGATTCTAGATTTTTTGACGCAATAGAATTATACAGTAAGTTATTCGCAGAAGAATTATCGAAATTGAGAAGTGGTTAATGCCACTGATAATGCTTAATTACCATGTTGTGGCATCTGGTAGTGCTTAATTGCTGAGGTATTATTTTTTATAGTGCTTAATTGCTGAGGTTTGTCCTCTAGTAGTGCTTAATTGCTGAGGCCTCTGGTATTGCTTAATAATTAAGGTATGGCTTCTAATAGTGTTAAAGATTTGGCCTTTGATAGTGTTTAATTATTATTAAAGTGTGCCCTCTGGTAGTGCCTAAATTATTAAAATCTGGCCTTTCGGTAGCGTTTAATTATTAATTTTTGGCATCTGGTAGAGCTTAATTATTGAGTTATGACTCATGCTATTACTTAATTATTAAAGGCTCTAGCTACCTGAAATAATTATTATAAAAAAGAAAAATATGTAATGATTTTAGTTATTCCAGCTAGTATAATTTCATAAAACTATTTAATGAGTTTAATAATAAATTAAAGGTATTGTTTTTTTATTACACTTATTGAATCCGTCGACCCAGCCGAAAAAGTCTAGTCTTTAGATGCAAGAGAAATTATCTAATGAGTTGTAGTAAATAAATACTGCAGCTCTTTGTAAAACATTTTCTTTAATATGATAATTAATTTTAACTATGATCCGAAAATTCTCGGAATAAATGTTTTTCAAAGCATTTTATTTTTCTGTGCACAAAAGCTCAAATTATTTTCAGCCTATTAACTATTTTGAAACAATTAACTATAATTTTGAAATCTATTAACTGGCCCAAAACTACATGCTTTCTAATGATTCTCAAAATTACAAGCTTTAATTCTCTACTGATTAAACTTTTAACTCGTTAACTATGATTATGAACTGTCAAATCATTAACTTTAATAACAGTGCTAATTTTTACTAATTGTATAACTATTAACTGTGTCAAAACTAATCATTGCCTTATGATCTTTAAAAGGATCAATCTAAGAATTCTCGAAGTGATCAAATATTAATTGTCTAATGTTTAAAATATTAATGGTCTAACTGTAACTGTTAACTGTATATTAATTACTATTAACTATTATGTCGACTAATTATTAACGTATTAAGCTATTATTAATTGTGTACCTATTAACTGTCTCAAAACTATTCATTGTCTAATGGTCCTTAAAAGGATGAATGTTCTTTTCGAATGTTTCTGGAAACGATGAGCTATTATCATTTCGCTATTATTAACGAATTATTAACGTTTCGCTGTTATTAACGAGCTATTATTAACAGTTAATACTTTAAAACAGTAAAAAGCTTAAAAATAATTGTGAGGTAATATACAGTTGTAGGGTATATTTTAATTTTTTAAAACAGTTATTTTAATTTAGTTCACCTTTCCTATCTCTTCTAGCTTCAGCTTACAATTCCTTACCAGAATGAGTTATTGTGGACCTATTAAGCTATTAATCGTCTAACTATTACCATTAACTGTCTAGTTATTGTTAGGCTATTAAATATTAATTATCTGTTAACTGTCTCAAGACTATGATTCTCAGATTCTCAAACTTACAAGCTATTAATTGTCTACTCATTAAACTGTTAACTATTTACAGTCTAACTATTACAAAAGTGTTAATTAATAATTGCATAATTATTGATTGTCCCAAAAATATTCATTATCAAATTATCTGTGTTATTGTTTAATAATTCTTAAGCTGATTCTTCTTCTGTTATTAATTATCTTCTGATTAAACTTAATAGTATAACTATAATTAATTATGCAGGGTTCCTCACTTGTATTCAATTAACTAAGTGTTGAGGAACAGAAATGAATCAAGAAGGGTTAATTACCCTTTATTTTCTCAAAATAAAAATTTACAATTTTTCCCTTTCTGAAGGCGTACAAGAAAGCCTTCACTTGCGCTTAAACTCAAAATGTGAGAACTAACTAATGACTAACTAAAGAGATTTAGTCGAAGCTAATACAATTCAGTTGGCTCGTGATATTAAATTAGCCAGCGAAGCTATCAAAAGGCGCGTAATACGGCCGAGCGTAATAACAGTTAGAGAGACGTAACCAAATGACAAATTACGCTATTCATGAATCCTACCTCTCTCTTTCTCTTTAAATGTTTAGGTCAAAGTCAGGAATTTTGACCTAAACATTTTTACTTTGCATTTGCATTTAAACGATTCTAAAAACTCATTCTGGTAAGGAATTGTAACTGAAGCTAGAAGAGATAGGAAAGGTGAACTAAATTAAAATAACTGTTTTATAAAATTAAAATATACCTTACAACTGTATATTACCTCACAGTTATTCTTAAACTTTTTACTGTTTTAAAGTATTAACTGTTAATTGAACCATAACTGTGAACTATCTAACTATTAACTGTTACAAAAATATTAATCATTAGTTTTATAACTGGTAACTGTCTCAAAATTATTCATTGTCTAATGATCCTTAAAATGATGAGTGCTGTTGTCTAATGATTTTCAAAATGACTAATTATTAATTGTCTAACTACGCCTAACTAAAAGTATTAACTCTTAATTAATTATTGTATAACTATTCATCTAAAAGGAATTAATTGTATAATGATTAATTATTTATTCACTGATGTTTAAAAATTAATCGTCTACATCTAACTATTAACTAAATACTATTAACTATTAATTTTCTAACTATTAAAATCTTAGGAGAAACAAATCTGAAAGTGTTCGGATTTGTAGCTGTACTGTTTATGATTCCAACTGTAGTGTTTATGATGATATGGTATAATTTCTTTTAAAATACGCTTCGAAAAAAGACCTGGAATAAAAAAAATTTAAAAAAAAAAAAAAAAAAAAAAAAAAAAAAAAATGTTTTTAATGCATTTTATTTTTCTGTGCCCAAAAGCATTTTATTATTTAGCAATTAAATAAGTAATATTTCTAAACGCGGTATCTTCTTTTTGTAGTTCTTAGAACCGTTCATCAATGGCTGTCGTTTATCTGGTCGTCATTTGGTTTCGCTCCTAGAAGAGCTAAGAGGAAGTCGTCTGCCAGTGTCGTCCAGCCTCACTCATCAAATGATCGAGCAGCAGAAAAGAAATGTCAGTCACACTTTCCGCGACGAGCAGCTACGACACCTGGAGGAGGAAGGCGATACCATCCTTAAAGAGCTTCAATCCTACAGAACGCGGTCTCCTCACAATTACGATTATAGGTGATTAATTTCGTTGTAAATCATGTACGCCGCATTCTTTACTGCACACTCTCATAAGTCTTTTGAGAACTGTTGTTTTCTTGATATGATTTTATAAAACGCGGTTTCTACACGATTACGATTACAAGTGATTAATTTCGTTGTAAATTGCGTCCACTGCATTCTTTAGTTCTCAATCTCATAAATCTTTTCGGAAGTGTATTTTTCTTGGCATGATTTTATGGAACGTGGTCTCCACACAATTGCGATTGCAAGTGATCAATTTCGCTGTAAATTGCTTCCACTGTATTCATTACTAGAACTCTAATAAATGTTTTGGGAAGTGTATTTTTTGACATCATCTTTGAAGACATCAGTTTGATATCATCTTGTAGAGCACGGTCTCCACACAATTACGATTGCAACTGATTGATTCCGTTGTCACTGCATTCCTAGTCTTTTGGGAACTGCTTTTTTCTTATGATATTTGAAGACTTCATCTTATAGAACGTGGTCTCCTCTCAGTTACTGTTACAGGTGATTAATTTCCTTGTGAATTGTCCACTGATTCATTACTGCGCAATCTCCCTAGTATTTTGGGAACTGTATTTTTCTTGACATCATCTTACAGAACGCAGTCTCCAAAACTGCGATAACCAGCATAGAAATCAGTTTTTTTCTGTGTAATTTAAAAACAGTGGAACAGTGTGTAATTTAAAAACAGTAGTTTCTTGACACCACCCTTAAAGAACACTAAGCATATGCAGAGGGTATTTACGCATTTTTAGAGTGATTTTGATGCCGTTTAATTAATGTTTAAAATATAAAAAGTACTTTTTAAAATGTTCGATATGATAGCCTTTTTGTCTGGACTATAAAGTCTGCATCATTATTTCCATGATAGAAACGCCTTTCGTAAAATTTCTAGGGATATTGATTTCCATTATTTTCCACTACTTGCCATAGTCCATCCATCATGGTGAATTTGTGCTTAGAAAGAGTACTCTCCTAGAGACCAAAGGCACAATAATCCATACTCGAAACGTCAAGGTACTTGGCGGGAATACATTGAAAAAGTCTTGCTTTGTCTCGATCAAGTTTCAGTTTTGAAAGTCATTGAAATTGGAATTTTTTCTGTTAATGCCGGGCGCAAAACTTTCTGTTAATAGTATGTGAGTTTATTTTAATATTTTCCACCGGTCTTCTTAATTTCTGGTTATAGGAGAATCTTACGATAATCATGAACACCTTACTGAAACTTTTTTTGCATGGAAGGAACCAAGTTTGTACACTTTTTTCCCCTTCGTTTTCGTTAATAAATAGACCTTTTATGTTGTCATTTAAGTAAACCCATGCTTTATCAAGAATCATAATGTATTTCCATTTATGTACTGCTAAATAGTTTTCACACAGGTTTCTGCAAGTTGCTGTGCTTTGAGCCACATGCCTTGGCAAAAGCATTCTCTTTTTATCTTTTTTAAGTTTTAAATCTGTGTTTATTATTTTATTTATTGTTGCTGCAGATATATTTAAAGGCTTTGTAATGGATTTCTGCGTCGGCAGATTTTTCTGCCGTTACCAACGATTTAACTTTAGAACCATTAGAAACAGTACGTACCTTTTTCAGATATTTGTTCGGCGTCTTCTTTCCATGCAGAATTAACTACTGAACGGTTTTCCCTTTCCGATTAATAATGTTGCTTATTTTGCACTTAGAAATATTAACCATGCATTTCACAACATTTTTAAGTTAGGGAATTGGAATATTTCTCTTCCGAAAGCGCAAAAATATATCCTTCTTTCCACAGCTTGTTTACACGCGACATTTTGAAAAGAAGAATCAATGGTGCTATTTCTTATTTTAAATAATAAGCTGTTTCCAGACATTTTTAATGAAAAACATATTTTTTAAAATTATTTATCGGAAGATGCAGACAGACAGATTCTTCATCGTTAAAGAAGGAAGGATAAATTTGATCACTTTTTTTTCAGGGAAAATTTGGAAAGAACGAGTAACCTGTATGACGAACTTCGAACAGCAATATCTAAGTTGGCGCGCCTAGCTGACAAGAGACTGAGTCGTTTGGAGGAGTGCCTACAGCTTAAGACCTTTCAGGAAGAATCTAGTCAAGTAAGCTGGAGGTGTTTTTTTTTTTTTTTAATAACACCGCTAAAAATCGTTTGAAAAATGGTGATTCGGTTCTAGCTTCAATTTAAAGGTTGAACGAACAAAACGAATGATTGAAACATGCTTTTAAGTAATTAATCTATTTTCGAACTATATATTTAAACACTACTCATTGAAACTCTACAATTTATATATAGTCTCAAAGATTATATAGTTATTAAAATTAATACATCAGTGTTATGTGAGACTACAGAAGTATGTATTTTTACATTGCTCATTGAGATTATATACATATTGATAGAAGAATATATTATTAAAAATAATATAATTAATATTAAAAGCAATACGTCGATGCTGTATGAGACCATAGAAGCATGCATTTATACCACGTTGAGATTATATAATATACATATTGATAGTCTGGAAGAATACATTATATTCTATTTAAAGAAATACATCGATGTTTTTGAGACTATAGAATATGTATTTAAACGCTACTCATTGAGACTATAGATTATAAATAAATATATTGATAGTCTCCAAGAATATATTATACTTTGTGAGAATGAATAGATCAGTATTTAATGAAAACTATATATATATTTAAATACTCCTTCAGACTACTGAATATAAATTTCGATGGTCTCAATATATTATATTCTATAAAAATGAATAACTCAGTATTCTGTGAGGCTATGAACTATACATCTAAACACCACTCATTGAGGCTATAGAATACCATCACCATTCTCTTGTGTTGCCAAGTATTTATTTCTTCCCTTTTTTTTTTTTTTTTAAAGAAGTGTTTTAGTAAAGAATTTATAATAAACATCATATTGTTACGAACTTTGTGTACATGCAAACAATTTTAGTGAAATTGTACGGGAAAGTATAGTATCTTTTGTGTAATGTAAATGAAATGCTTGAGAGGGCGAACTCTGCCGGAAAAATAAGGTTATAGGAACATTGAGGTAAACGGCTATCTCGCTAAATTGCTAAATTAATCTACTAATTATATTTTTTATTATAGATCGCCAAGCTGGTGATGGTTTTCGCGACTAACTTTTTTTCGCTGAATTTCGCCAAAACTCGCAAAATTTGGTGACCATTTGGCGACATTTTGGTGCAGTCCCTCCATAACTGTAATTGAATAACTGTAACCGTATCTGGCTCGGCGGCCGGGGTAAAACTGCATAAAGGCCGAGAGAGCATCAGTTCCCAGTTTTTAGTTCAGAACTAACTTCTAAGTATTTTAGACATTGTGGGAGCTTCGTCGTCTGGCTTTGCATTGTCTTTCACGTTAATAGTAGTTTGAAGTGGTAACTGCTGACTGTACTGTGTTATACGGAGAAGAGCTGTCCGACTATTTTTGTGGAAAGTGTAGAGACATTAGATATTTTGGAAGCAGGAAAGATGGAAAATATGCAACGCCTTCGCCGGTAATCGAATCTCGGACATCAAAGCGCTGAGCGTGCAGACCACTACATCACGAAGGCTCGCTAAGAAGGTGAGAGAAATACTTTATAAAAGTTCCAAAATTGTAAAGTATTTCTTTATATCAAGTATTTTCTTTTTTAAAGCCTTTCTTTTGGAAAAATAAATTTTATTAAGCTATCATCGGTTCTGTGTGCATTCAATCCGTTACGAACGCGTACTCACCCAGCAATTGTTACCAGTTGTATTCTTTCTTTATTCTTTTAACTTAAAGGTGATGGCAGATGATTTTGCTGTATTTTAAATGTTACATAGTAAATAAATATGTGAGGAACAACATTCTTTCAAAGATTTAGCTGTTTTGAATGATGTTGATGGACGATTTAATGACAACAAGGAGGAAATAACATCATCATCTTTCATCATTCTACTTTATTTTTCATTTTACATAACCTAATTCTTGTGATATATTCCGTTTTTTTCTGTTTTCTGACATTATTGACACCATCATTGAGAATTTGTGTTGCCAGTTTTCATCACAAGAAACGTCAGCCATTGTTTAGAGTCATAGTGTTTTAATTGCCACTCTAAAATTAAAATCCAAGACTGGGTCAGAGCTTGAGTATAAGAATTGATTTCAGTCCAGCTGGTTACAAAAATAACGGTTATGACAGAAAATATCTGCCTTTAGGCAGATAATTGTTTAATATCTCTGTATCGTACTGTTTTTGTTTTTTATTTTTCTCTATCTTGTGTTAGGGGTTGAAGAGATTAAAAACCTTCCGGCTAAGAATCTTTTCATTATCACCTTGAAAGAGGCGATGATAAAAAGAAATGCAATTATTGTGAGATAATTGGATGTTGTTCCTTTAAAAGATTGGACTTGTTGCTTGGTTTTTGTCGGTGTGGATTTTCCATCTGCCAGTTAATAATAGACTGAAATTGCCTAGAGTTATTTGTTGCGTATATAGAATCATGAAGTTTGCGAATTAAAAGAAGTTTAATGCCGGGAGGATGTCGGAATTTTAAACCTGCGTTATATTGAAAGCGGAATTTATTATTATACCGCGTTATGTATGTGCTACGATATATTCGCATTTTTTTCTACGAATGTTTCGAATTTTTTTAAAGATTGTTTATTTTTTTAATTCATATATATGTATATATATATACTGCAAATATAAAAATATTGAAAAATTTAAATGCTCATTTTTGTTCCTATAAATATGCTATTTTTTTTAATTCCTTAGCAAGTTATTAGCCCAAAGGGACACTTTGCTCAGAAGGGCTATTAATTTTCTTTTGGCATTTTGCGTTGGTTCGCTATAAACGGCGTCTCACTTTTTAAATTGTTGCCACCAAATATTAGAGCTCTGCATTATATTAAAAAAATTAAATAATGAAGTATCTGCATGGTTTTTGGTTTGGTTTATGTGATTACGGCAAAGCCTGGAGGGTTATCTGCGTAAGGGAAGGGATGCCTTCATGGAGAACTTTAACGGAAACTGACGTTTACACATGTGGAAAACTACGAAAACGCCCATATAGCCAGCCTGTTCACAAGTTTCGAACATGGTCCTGAACATGGTCATGAGCGACTTTATCGTTCGGCTGCTGGTGGGCTAAGAATCTGCATTAATGTTTGTATGTTTCTTGCACTTTGAAAAGCAATGGTAGCTAGAGACATCAATAACGTAATCCTTCACTCGAATATGGGCACCTGGAAGCCCAAATTAGGAATTTTTTTTTTTTTTTTTTTTTTTTTTTTTTAAATTTTTACTACTAGTATTCCAATTTTTTTATAACGAATTTTAATTTTGTGGTATTTTTTTAACCCATTTTTTATTTTATTTTTTTTTATTTTTATTTATTTATTTATTTACCAAAGGGGCTTATTACCAAAGGGTAATTATTTATTTATTTATTTATTTACCAAAGGGGCTGAAGGACTATTGTTTTCGTTTCGCGATTGTGCGTCGAATCACTCTGAATGTCCGTTCCACTTTTCAAACTGCTGCCACCAAATACTATCGCCCTGTATTATATTTGAAGAAATTAAATAATGAAGATTCTGCATAAATGTATGTATGTTTCATGCATTGTGATAAAACAACCGTACCTAGAGCCATCCAATTTTGAATGACGTAATCCTACTGCGAATATGGGCACCTGGAAAACCAAATTTGAAATTTGGAATTTGTTTTATTATTGATTTCATATTTTGTAAAACTTTTACGAATTTTTGATGAACAAACTCAACGATTTAAAAGCGAGCAATGGCAACACTCTACGGGAGGGAAAGAAACCTTTTTATCTCCAGCGCCGCGAACTGTGTATGGGAAATTCTAAAGATAGGCTCATTTTAAAATTATTTTGCCACATTGCTGTTGAACTGAATTTTATGGTTTAAGTGCAAAATGCATGATCATAAATAAATAAAGCTTAAAAAAAACGACTCTTTGGACGTAGTTTAAAATCTGAAACCTTTTAGATTTTTTAAAAATTCTTTTTGAGAATTTAAATGTCAAATATTTGAATTTTTTGTAATGAATTTTGTTTTTTTTGTCGAGGTATTTTATTCTTTTTTATGCATTTAAGCATTCAATTTTTTTTTTTCTGCGAATATGAGGAATTCGAATTTTTTGTAACGAACTTTGTTTTTTCTGTGACGAATCTTTTGAGGGTTTTTGAATTTCTTTCTATGAATATACAAATACTGGAATTTTTATAATGATTTTTTGTGTATTGAAATATTCACATTTTTTTCCCCTATGAATATTCAGTTATTAGGAATTTTTAAAACGATTTTTTTTATATTTGGATATCGAATAATTTTTTCACGAACGATCAAATTAAAAAAAAAAAAAATTGTATTAAAATTCGGATTTTTTTCCCCTTACCTATATCGAAATTTCCTATTTTTTGTAACGAATTTTTTTTCTATTCAAGTATTCTTGAGTTATCAAATCAAATACTCGTATTAACTCAGTTATTTAAATCAAGAGCAGCAGAATTTTAATCCCGCGTTATATTGAAAGTAGAAAGTTGCCCCATTTGACTACGTGTAGTTATTCTACGAATTTTTAAATATCCGAATAATTCTGTAACGAATTTTTAATGAATTTTGTTTATTCTAGTGAATTTTTTTAATTCAAATATTCATTTTTTTCCCTACGAATATTCAATACGAATACGATTTTTTTAATGAATTTTTTCTTAATTAATATATCCAAATTTTGTCTTATGAATATGGAAGTATCCAAATTTTTATTAGGAATTTTTTTTGTATTGAAATATTCAAAAGCCTGAAAGTGTACCAGAATTTTAAACTCACGTTATCATGAAGGTGGAATATATAAATGTACCGCTTTATGTTCAAATTTTTTTCCACTAATATTCAAACTTTTTGTAACAATTTTTTTTATATTCAGAGTTTCAAATTTTTTCCTCCAAGTGTAAAAAATTCAGTTTTTTTCTCGAATGAATATGCAATTTTTCGAACTTTTGTAACATATTTTATATATATTTTTTTACTTTTTATTTATTTATTTATTTATTTATTTTGTAAA